TTTGTGGAAGTTACGAGTACTTCGTAATTTATAGAAGTTTTTAGCACACTTATAGTGAACTAAATAGCTTTCCAATAACAATTTCCAATAGCAATAACCGCTAGGAAAGACATCTTGAGTGGCCAATATGGAGTGAAAAGGACAGCTTAAGTCCTCTTTTCAACTAAATTGACTGCCACGAAAAGATAAAAGTTTTTGAAAAAGCTTGTATCTAGTTTGGGGACACCACTAAAACAATCACAGCGAACACTAGTCAAATTCATCCTTTTTACTCCTATTGATTTCTTCACTGTACCCAATGTGGCTCTAAGCCCGTGGCGTAACTAAAAACTGACAATGCAAGAGACAATAGTCCAAAGGTTTACCAGTTAGCTAAACAAAATGACTGATAATCATTAATCACAGCTGCAGGTAAGTAAGTAATTGCCATGTCAATTACACAATTGCATACCGTGTAAGCATTAAGATATTCAAGCACAATTTATTTAATAATGCGATTACGTGTTATGAAAATAACGGCGCCAACACACTGGATACTTTTTGCGGTAAAGAGCTTACTCATTAGTATGTCTTACGGCCAGAACCATACGACACCAGAACTTAAGGAAATTACCAGGAAATTAAGAATTCAATTTTTGTTAAGAAACGAGTAAGAACTCGGGCGCACTATGTTTCTACCCTTTTGGGGCAAGTCCTTTGAGGAAATAGTGGCCACAAAACTAAAAAATAATGCTGTAAAAACTTCCCTAGGAGAGGCCCTGGGGCCACGATAGGTATGTCTTTACATTCTTGTAAGAACTAACTTTAAACTTGCATATTTTTGCTTTTATAAAATAAATAAATATCAAACTTATATTTTTTTTATATATGTAGTGTTATAACGATAATGTCTAAAAATACTCAGGGCGTAGATGATCAAAAGACTTTAAAAAAAAAACAGGTGTCAGAGTACTGTGAGACAATATGGCCCAATTACCAAATTTTGAGAGAGAGATTTTGAAAAGAACATTGTAAGACACTTAGAGGTGATGTGAAATTGAAGTGTCTTTTACATTTTGCACGTAGGAAGTTTAAGGCTTTTTATTTAAGTTGCACGAAATTCACGATGCGCAAGTGTTAGCCGTGCTTGGTTTATGAACACATTTGCCTTTGATTTTGAACTAAAGCGATTTCTACAATCGTGGAATTGATTATAAGAAAAAGGGATTATAAATTCTATAAATACTTCAGTTTAGTTAGTATTTACTGTATTACAGATTACTAGCACTTCGTAATCTGCATACGCCTTTACTAAAACGAGGTGGCAGTTGTTGCAACATGCATAAATTATTATACGTACTTTTTTAATGTAGTGCTTAAACATCTTCATTTGTTTAAACATTTTGTTTGATATGACAACATTGTAACGGTAAAATTCGATTTTAGAATTTGGAGATTGATTGTACATGTTAAATTGAGCTTTGGTTGCTTTTGTGTTCTGTCTGTGTAACGGAACTAAATGTCTATGGGCTTGGGCACCGTACCATATTTGTGATGAATGCCCAAAAATATTATAAAACGTGGGTGACACATACTAGTATCATTAATAGACGGATGTCTACTCAGACAACTTAATAGGATGTGACCTTACTATTTATATTCCTGGACCTATAATTGACGGACAGAATATATCAAATGTCACAATGAAGTTAGTTAAGATTTAAAATCGAAAACACTTCCTCCATGACAGCTTAATTTATTTTTCACCAAAAGTATTTTAATGACAAATGTTTCTGTTTTATGCAAATTGTATTAGGCCTTAACATTTTAAAACATATCGTTTATCATTTTAGTTTTGTGGTTGTCCTTCAACCGCCATGACCCAATCTCTTATTAAGTTTTTGGAGTAAACACGCCAAGGTGTTTTAAATAACGGGTATGTAAAATTACTTGACGTACTACGGAGACACTTTATTACTTCCTTATATAGATTACTTAGTGGGCTTGGGAGTGGTCTGTTGGACTAGTGGTTAGCGTTCCTACTGCTGAGCCAGAGATCGTGAGTTTGATTCCCACAAAGGGCAAGTATTTGGTAAATGAGTACGATCGTTTTGTTTTGTTTTCGGATGCACTTTATCTACATACGTATTTAGAAATTTAAAACTAAGTTTATCAGTAGTCGCGTTACTATAGTACAGACTCTCCTAAGTGTAAAGTTAATATTATTATTTTTACATACAGCTTTACTAATTTAATACTTAAGGTTCTGAATTCACTTTTCGGTTAGGAAAATTTTCATTTTCTTTACCCGGTAATAATAAGTAATCTAATAACGTACCTATTTCTAGAAAGGTGTCAGAGAATACTGTAAAAAAGTGTACTAAACTCACGTTTAAGCATGTGAAAATAATAAATGCAGATGGACTACATTACAGGAAGAAGAAAAGGTATTTAATCATAGACAGTTCGGTGATTGAGTCAACTGCAATTATCACGATGATTGGACAGATTACAGTCTGTGAGATCAATTACCTCTAAACGGTTTCCTTTTAGTGATGAATAGCGTCCAATTTATAATGATGGTGAACGATAAATGGTTTCGGAAATAGAGTACTTGAGTTGAAGCCTATACTACTAACAGATATAAGTTCGGCCTTTGAGCTCAATTTATAAAGCTTAAACTATTCAAATAACTATTTATTTATTAATCTATTTACGCTATAGTAGTACAATGGTCAGTTTATTCTGAAAGTGAAGAGTTAGAATATTTTATTTTAATGTTTTCGTGTATGTTTTTTTATTTTTTTATAATTTTTTACCAAAGTAAGCGTTGGTAACTAAGATAGCTTTTCTTTCTGTGAAGTAATAAATACGTTTCAGCTTTTTACTTAGCTACTAGATTGTCAATAATTAACTTTCTCTTACGTTAGTTAATACTTTTTATTCTGTAATTATCGTGTTATGTTATTATCAAAGTGACGTTTGTTGTAGTAATTATTAGACTTCGTTACGTAAAGTTTACGTGTGAAGTTTAAAACAAAAGTTCGATTATGTTATTATATACTTGTCTACATCATATCAATATGTCAAAGAGTGTCAATACTTTAGACACGGTATTAAAGTATTGGCATTCTTTTGTTACAAGATTTTTCTAGGCATAGGCACCGACTTAGAAGACTCGTAAAAAGGAACAAAGGTTCTCGAGTACTTGCCATGGACTCGAGGACGAGGCATGACGTGTTCTTAGGTTTCAAAAGCCTGCTTAAAACAAATATCGTTGAAATAATCATTGATGAACTTGATAAATCGACATACTTGTTAATTTACCCAATAAAAACAACCTTAACGACGTATTACAAAATTACGCAATATAATTGTGGTATGTCGGGTACGAAGATTTTAATAAGACAAATTCAAGTCACATAAAAAAAACTCGTTTCTGGCCATTAGAGTACTGTTATCAAAACCATTTGCTTTAACATATCTTGTTCGCTCTCCACGCGCTTCGATATCCGACTGTCGATTAATTCAGGTACACCATGTGCTTTATGAATTTTTCTGTGTCCCAGACCATAGTATTCTTGATGGTTTAATTAAAGAGCGTATCCCTTCCTCAAAAGCTGGCAAAGCGCTTGTGACTCTTGAGTTGCAGGCGTTCATGGGCAGCGGTGATCGCTTTCCAGCAGGTGACCCGTCTGCTCGTTTGCCCTCTAATCCATAAAAAAATGACACAATAAACCAAACACATTATATATATATCTCGACAATAAAAATATAAATTCATATTGATATTATTATTAGATAAGTCAAGGATGACATTATAAATTAAACAACTATCAATTATAAAACCTGAGTAAGACAGGTCGACAACAGGTTGCCTACCAAGGCCAGATCGGTTTCATAACCAAGGACACAATTCCTTGTTTGTAAGAATAATAGAAACATGGTAATTAACCTTTTGCAAATTATATGTAAATGATTTTTCTATTATATGTTAAATATAAATGAGTCACGACTTGACGCTTACATTATAACATATTAGCAAGTGAAAACGAGAATTACTATTGTAGTAAATCAGGAATGGACATTTTACTATCGTAGTTACGTAATTAATTAATAGACTTTAGGTAACTTTTGGAAGTGGTTTCTCGTACAAGACTTTAAAAAGATTTCTTTGATAAAAGTTGATCTCCTTCAGATTACGTCTGAGTAATAACTTGAATACCGTTTATATTGCTGTTATATTATTTTTTATTTGACATTAAAACAAAAAAAAAATTACTAAACGTGGTTACAGTACCCTTACTAGGTCTTATTTATAAAGATAGTGCAACATTGCCATCTGGCATTTGAATAAAATAGCTTGACTTTTAAATACAGTGATCTTTTTTACAAGCTGCTAATACTAATCGCAACTTATTATTATTTTTATATATGTATTTTTTTTTAAAGAATAATGGTGACCTTGAATTCACACACATCAAATGACTCCTGAGTTGCAGGTGATGAACACCTGCAACTCAGGAGTCATTTGATGTGTGTAGCAGGTAGCGGTAGTCACTTTCCATCAGATGACCCCTCTACTCGTTTGCTTCCATAAAAAAATCACAAGCTAAATGGTTTCCGGTCGCTATAGTTTGAATGCGATTCACGGCGATCTGATCACTATTGATTACCCCTCTTTGCAAAATAATATTTTTCTAAATAAACCACCGTGTACTAAAACGTAAAAATTTCGTTTCTTTGTCCGTTGGTTTCATTATGAAGCCAATTCTGATTAGTATATAAAGATCAGCTGTTTTTATTTTGCGACTACGGGTAAATACGTTCTTGTGTTTTTTTATGAAAACCTCGGTTTCTGACTCATAATACTTGTTGTTTTAAATAAACTTAAGTATGTAGAATTTATGTGGATAAATAAAGTTTATGCTATATTGAGTAAATAAGGGTAATTTGGAAAGGGTCAAACTGGGTAAAGTACACTTATAAGAAAAGGTAAAACATATGGGCACTCTACAAACCTTGGTGTGGAGATAGACGATGCCCTTGAGAGTTTCGGCTTTTTCGCCTTAAAGAACTTATGATTCCTCAAATCCATTTTGTTCACAAAAATATAAATAAATAAACAATTAAAACCACACGAAGCACGACCACTCGCGAAACTCTGACACTGGCTACTAGCATATTAATTAGAACATACTATTGCAATCTAATTATCATTAAATTTCAGGTTTTGCCTCTACAAAGTCGTTAGAAACGGATTGCATTGTAAAGTTGGTAAATTTGGGTAGCGGCTATTCATACGAATGAGCGAGACAAACTGACAATGTAAGCAAGAGCGATATAGAGCGATTTACTGTCGTAATATTTGTGGCGTAAGCGCATACCTCTGTTAATTAAAATATGGATTTTAGTTGTAAAAAATTTAGTAAATTTGTAATCGACATGATTTAAATTCATTTGTGAGTTACGTAGCTCTTTGCGGAAGTTTTTGTGCGTATTTATTTAATTTGATAACTTTTTAGTTACTTTTATTGAGGTTTGGGGAGCATGTTCATAACTTTGGAGGAAAATGAGTTCAGTTTCTCATCAAAGTAACCTTAGTTTAAAAGTTGCAGAAATTATCTATATTGCTTGCAACAAAAGATGTTTTACAACGTATTTTTTACATCACACTGCAATTTATTTAAGAAAACGATAAATTAGAAATATAAAGTTAACTGCATTAAAACAAAGCACCCTGAAGATATATAATACGACATTTCAGATTAATAAACACTTCTTCAAGGATTTATTACTGGATTGTCATTTTTTGTAAAATGATACTTCACTTGCTTATTCAAATTTCAAAGTCCGTTAAATCTGTGTTTACATTCACGCGTACGAAAATAAGAGAATAGTTGAATTAAGTTTTATACAGATACAGGTGTATAATATAACCAAAGATTTGGAATACCTGCAATCCAAGGCAGCGTACCACAATACGGCCCTCAAATTTAAGTAAAAGTCGTATCATCATCAATAGCCTATAACAGTCCACTGCTGGACATAGGACTCTCCTTAGAAAGGAGGTTTTGGCCTACCATACCACGCTGGCCAGACGGGTTGATATAGGGTTTGTTTCAAGTTTTCCTGCTCTTTGCAGTGCTGTTGACCTGCGTTGTTTGCTCCCTTAGTCGGCTCTTACGACACCCACGGGATGAATAGGGGTGGTGACATACCGTATTCTTAATCCGTCACCACACGGAAAGTCGTATGGTAGATTTAATTATGAATGTAATGGCAAGAACAAGATACTCGTTATGGAGAAGGAGAAGGCAATTCATATGGAGATGTGCACATAAATTGGAAAGCCAGTATGTTATCCCACATGAGACATAATTATAAACAGACCAGAAAGTGGAAGATATTACCTTGAGGAGGGACATTAATATTTATCTAAACAGATAAAAAGTTTTCCTCGTGTATAAAAGTAAGCTCTTATGTTAAATAGGTGGAGATGTAGGCACCTCTTCTTTATCAGGGAATTAAGATAAGGTTTTAGCAATCTTAGAAAAAAGTACCAGGAAAAACGAATATTACATTTTTGGTACATTTTAGATAACAAATTAAGATGAGAGCATGTAGATGCGATGCATCGAGACCGGGTTTCTTTCCTTTCTAAAAAAACTCTCGCTCTCGAACATCTTTTTGGATGTGGCATTTGTACCAATAATATATCGCTTAATTGTACACCAGATATAAATATACAATAATTACCTTAAACTAGGTTAGACAAGAATGTTCCGGTATTTTTAGTTTCAGATTCTCTGACGATCTTGTGTCAATCAAGAACGTAAACCGTGATTTAAGGTAACGTTAAGGAAAATAAGCTAATAATGTTATAGACATCATATTCGCTACTGTTCCCGCGCCTCTCTTCTTAAAAACCGCTTCCTACACACAAGTAGAAGTCAGTTCTCGATGCACGTCACAGATACCCCGGTCGGCTCCTCTGACGCGACTTTGTTAAGTGATATTATGCGATTTGAATATTTTATGAGATGGTACTGTTATAGTTTATGAATAGTTGCAAAATTGTTGATTCCTTATGTACTAGACAGGTTTATGAGGAACGTTTTTGATTGGAGATAAATTTTCTTTTAGCTTTTGTAAGCTCTACTTTGATTCTTCTCAACTTTCAGTGATCAAAGATTATGTCAAGGTTTTCATTATTATTAATGTTTTTTCATTAATGTTATTTAGTCTTATTTAAATTTTCCACGTGAAAATATTTCAAGTTTGATTATACAAATTAGATGAAGTATTTACAATTCACCTTGACATGCAAATAAATGTAGTAAAACATGTTAGTATAACGATTTCGCACATATATAGAATGTCAAAACCTCCTTTCTAACAGTAAACTATTAAAGGTTGTTGATATACAATACACAAAATGTGGCTAAAATTTTGTGTTCTAAAGAGATAACTCCCGCACTAGGAATATTGCCTGTATAACTTAATGACTTAACAATCATACATGAAATGGACTCAGAACAACAATTTCTGGATCACACAAAGTGTTGTCCCATGTAAGTGGGGATCGAACTCACAATACTCTGCGCAGTAGGAAGCGACAAAGTGACTGCTTAAACCACTACACTATCCGTGCAGTTTAATATATGAGTATCTGTTATTTCTGCAGCGTCTAACATATTCACAATGTAGTATATCAACCGCAAGGGTAGATATAAATGTAAAAGCAACTAGACTAAAACATTTAAATGCAAGGACCGTAGAATTCCTATGCGTCGGCGCGTCGGTGTTGTCTGGTGACGTACCAAACTAAAAGGTCTGCAGCTTAGCATACTATAAAAGGTTATAAATAAAACTGAGTAAGTTACTTTGTTCAGCCAATGAATTTAATCTATATAACGAAATTAGATTGTTTAAATCGTTGTCCGTGTGGTGACGGAATAAGGTGTCGTAAGAATCGACTAAGGGAGCAAATCACGCAGGTGACTAATAAGAACTCATAGTTAGAGATATATTTACTTAAGTTATTAGATTATTTTTGGTTACTACTAAAACAGAAAGTAGAAAAAAGAAAGAAAGTCCGTGTGGTGGCTGATTAAGAATACAGTGTATCATCACCCCTGTTCAGAGACTTGCTGGGAGATGGTCATGGAGAGAGAGATACTACAGATTTATAAGATAATAGAATCCTTCTTAAAAAAAGTTGAACCGACTTCAAATAATACTAACAAAGAGCAATCGCGGTCGAATTGCTGTCATTTTTTTAAGACTTACGTTGTCTGTCACCGAAACTCATCATCAGATCTATATGAAATTTAAATGGGACCATTTCGGAATATCTCCTTCCGAACAAAAAAATAATTTCGTAAATCCATCTTTATATAGCCCGGGGTTATGCCCGAACATAGATAAAAAAATATAAACAGCCGAATTGAGAACCTCCTCCTTTTTGAAGTCGGTTAAAAAGGGTGTCAAGCAATTCTTTCCTTTCTTCAGAGAAGGACCAACCACTCCTCCCATTTATCGGAGGAGGGCACCCAAAGGGCGGCAACCTACTTCTGTCTGTTAAGTTGCATAAAAAAGTGTCTCAATCAAGTTTTTTTTTGTAGACTAATAAATTTCAATTGTAAGTGTTGCCAGTCTAATAATTTTTTCAATTATCAATTACACAATTCCAATAGTTCAGCCTGAGTTCACTGGTAGTACAATAAAAGAATTCAACTTTAACATAGTTCACTACCCAAGTGGATGTTATCGTTGTTGTTTTACTTGGCAAATGAAGTTAAGTAATTGTTGATGTAACTTGAAATAAAACGCAACGTGTGTTGACACAAATATTGTGATATAATTTTATTATATATTGCAATTCAGTGTAAATATCATGCATTAATTTTAGTGAACAACTCGATAAAGCTACCGTCAAGTATTGTGAGTTTTTATACGTTATTAAATATATTATATTAGTGTTTCAGATTTGTCGGCCGTTTGTGCCCGTTTTGTGTGTTTTAAACAAAATATTTTTCTATGTGTGATCTGGTAAAATTCATTCTAGTACATTCTTATTTTAACATTGCAATAGCAGTTGAAATGCAGTTTGCATAATAATATAACCTCAATGATAATATACTGTTAAAACAAGACGAGTAGCTATTTTGTTTGGAAGTTTTAAAGCTAATAATAATTTAGGTGAGGGTGCCCTTGTCAATCGTTGTCAAGGAGATAAGCATATATTTAACAACAAGTTGGTAATTTTAAATGCATTAAATTTGTTTATTTTACGAGACTACATTTTTTATTTTATTTTATATATTATTATTCTTCGAAGCTGTAAATTGAAATTATTATTAATTTATTTTTATCCTTTTGGTGGTGTGTTTATTTTGATTCATTTGCTGTAAAATATAAAAAAATAGGTAAACTCACACTAAATTTTAAATTACTATCAACTTCATTTAGTGCCCGTATGAGGAGCTCAGGTTTTCATTGTTATTACCGCATCTACGTTATATAAGTAAGTAATAGATATTTAATTAATTTGTAATTATTTATTCATTATTTATAATTTGTTTAAACTATATAAATTAGGTTATCGATTATGTAAAATTCTTAATTAATTAGTCATTTACTAACATACCTAAGTCATTATTCAAATTTGTATGCGATTCTGACTTTTTTTAAATTTCAATAATAATTCTAGATACCTCACACAACATACATTAAGCCTGGTCATCATCATCATCAACAGCCTTTACTAGTCCACTGCTGGACATAGGCCTCTCCTTAGGAAGGAGGTTTTGGCCTACTATACCACGCTGGCGGTTTGGCATAGGGTTTGTTTCAAGTTTTTCTTCTCTCTGCAGTGCTGTTGTCCTGCGTAGTTTGCTTCCTTAGTAGCCTCTTACGACACCCACGGGATGAATAGAGTTGGTGACACTCTGTATTCTTAATCCGTCACCACACGGACGGAAGCCTGGTAATAAATATAATTATATATTACTCAATTATACTGTCGAGAACTTACACTTAGAATCCAAAATTGACATAGACAGACATGATGTGCGGTATGATCTACTGAAGAGA